AGTCTCTGGAGCAGCAGAAAACAAGCTTGTTCCCTCCTCAGTATGATACTCCTCAAATACTTAAAACAGGGCTATCATATCACCTCTTAACCATCTCTTTTCCAGGTTAAACATACCCAGCTCCCTAAGTCTCTCTTCATAAGGCATGGTTTCCAGACCCTTCACAAGGGGTTCACCACAAGGTTGTGAGTTCAATACCAGCCAGGGGCTCAGGCTCCACTCAGGCTTGCATTCTTCCAAGGTCGCTAAAATTAGTACCCACCTGGTTGGAGGCAATTAGCTTACAGTTGTAAACTGCATAGAGCGGTATGAAGTGGTATATAAATGAAGCTGCTATTGCTATTGCTATTGCTATTTTGGTTGCCCTCCTCTGGACACGCTCCAGCTTGTCAGCATCCTTTTTGGATTGTGGTGCCCAGAACTGGACACAGTATTATTCCAGGCAAGGCCTGGACAGATTAAGTTTTTTACCACCACGTCCCTTTTCTGAATCCACGAACCCATATTATTTGCCCTAACCTGTTGACTGACAAGCCGAATAAAACAAAACCCTCGCTTTCCCCGATCCACAAAATTGACAGCTCTGCTACCACCACCTCCTGAGAACTTCCTTCAGATGGACACCCAAGTCTTCCAGAGTTTGTCCAAGAAGTGACCGTCCTTTCCCAGTGTTGGAATTTCATCACATTTTAACAAGATGTTCTGGCCTGGACGGCATGTCCAAGTACATTTCTAATTGCCCTGTGTACCAACAGCCGGGACTGCCACACACCCACCAAAATCTGCTTTTTTGGCAAGGTCACCACAAGCTTGCTACAAATCCTGTTATTACATCCATGATTCCGATCATAGGAAGAAGAAAATTGGCTAAGAGCTGCTGAGTAAGGAAGTGACTGACACAACAACGGCAACGACATTAAAGTGGTTACTTTTTATTTTATGCATTAAAAGAAACATCTGAAAATGTGAATAGCACGAGCCATCTTTTGGCTGGTTTGATTTTTCCTCCGCCGTTTGGTGAGACTTTATTTTAAAACTTTTATTTTAAAGTTTAAAAATGACAGCTGTGACACAAAAAAGGGTGGTCATCCCCTTATTAAGGGCCTTTACAGACTGCCAGAAATAATGCAACTTGAGTCCACTTTAACTGCCTTGGCTCAATGCTAGGGAATCATGGGAACTGTAGTTTATTGTGGCACCAGAGCTCTCTGACAGAGAAGGCTCAATGTCTCAGAAAAAACTACAATTCCCATGATTCCCTAGCACTGAGCCAGGGCAGTTAAAGTGGACTCAAGTTGCATTATTTCTGGCAGTCTGTAAAGGCCTTAAGTTACCATTATAAAGCTTCTCCTTCTTTTTCTCATATGACCCACCACGTCTTCCAAAGTAACGTGTGTAAAAAACACTTTTTAAAAAGATAAAAATAAATTTAAATGTTAATTTTAATAGCAACGTTCATTAAAAAACAATCCCAAAAGTCAATTTGAAAGCCATTTTTAAAGACCCAAGCCTTAGTTTTATGTTCGTTATTGAGGAAAGGAACTAATTACTAGCAAAAATGTTGCCTCCTCCTTACTTCCAAGATCTGGCATAGCCCTGTCCCTTAAGAGCTGTCCCTTAATGTGTGCATTATGCTCTTTGAATAAATAGGAGTTTAAAAAAAATTATTTTGAGAGCCAGCCCTTTCCCAAGGGGATATTGTTGCCTGTGGTGTCCTTAAGAAGCATGGCCCACTGTCAACCAAATATTACAAAGTATAGTGGTTTGAGCATTGAACTGTGGCTCTGGAGACCAGGGTTCGAATCTCCAGCCAGCCATGGAAACCACCTGGGTGACCTTGGACAAGTTCCATTCTCTCAGCCACAGAGGAAGGGAATGGTAAACCTGCTGTGAACAAATCTTGCCAAGGAAACTCAGCAATAGGCTCACTTTTAGGGTTGCCATATGTAAAAAAATGCCCCAAAGGCACACAACAGCAGCAATACATTTTTATTTTGCCTGTCCTTTCTTGGTTGCACAGGGTGCACCAGAACTTCCAATGCAAACTTTTAATTTTAGTGTTTAGCCCAGTAGAATGAAGAGCTAGCAATGCTCCTGGGTTGCTCTTCTCGAAGCTGATCTTTCTTTGGGCCTCTTTTCTCAAATGGTTGTTTTTCTAGCAAGCAATACTTGAATGCGGGGGAAGCTTAAGCCTAGTGAAGTTTTTCCCTTCAGTCCTGAACCATCTGGCTCACTGGTTTTTCTCTCCTTGCCAGCCAAGTCCTGTTATGTGAGGCGGCTGGTCTGTTTGCATTGGCTCCCAGCCAGAGAAGGTCACTCTTGTTGTTATTGTTTCATTCTGAAGCAAAAGGATGCAGTCATTATTTTTCCCCTCTTCTGGGGCTCTTCTGGGGCTGTTTTCGCACAAGCGATTTCTCAATTTCCAGCAACAAGTTGTTCCTAAACAAGTGTTGTTCTGACCAGTGAAAACGCTGCCATCAGACCTGGAGGGAAGAATAGGTGTGCACACTTGCCCAGCAAAATGAGTGATAACTTGGAGTACAAAACTTTTTTGCAAAGGGGCAAATTTAGATCGCAGCTCTGGAAGGTGTTGTATCTTGCGGCTTCATGTGTACCCTTCACAGAGCTTGGATAGGTACAGTTGGCCTTCCACATTTGCAACTTTGACTTTTGCAGATTTGATTATTCACAGATCCGATTAATAAGATCTCTCTAGGAATCTCTAGGTTCTCCAGGATGATTCTGTGGTCAATGTCCACCAGAGGTTACGCTGGAGGACCTAGAGATTCCTAGAGAGAACACTTTTCTAGGCATCTGTAGGTCCTCCAGCACAATTCTGTGATCAAATTCCAGCAGATGTTGACCACAGAGTTGTGCTGGAGAACCTAGAGATTCCTAAACCTTGTTCCCTCTATGATTTAAAGTGAATTGCTGATCGGGTTATGTGACCATCGTTCCCACTTGAAACTGGTT